ACTGACAGCAGGGCAGCTCACCAGGCACAGAGCAGGAGGATCCCAGGATCCCTGCTCAGCTCTGTTGTCAGTTCTCCTTCCAGCTCTGAGCCAACAGAGCAATTGTGACTGGCCAGAAACTTTACCCTCGAAGGAAGGGGAGGTGTGGCTTGTGCTGTGGCAGACTCCAGGGTGTTTCTGGAGCTTACAGGTTTGGGATGTTTCCTATTTTCCTGCCCTTTCAGTGTGGACAAACACTGCACGTCCAGGGCAGGGGAGCTGTGAGTGCATGTGCTGAACACAGCTGTGCTCTGGCTGAGCAGCTCCACATCACCTGCCCTACATTCCCTGAATCCATGACTTTATAGAATTTCAGAGCAGCTCTCTCTGAGAACTCTTCCCAAGCAGTGCTTCAGAACCTGGTTTCCACAGTTGCAGTTACAGAAATGTCATTTCCCATTTCCCAGCTGCTGTTTTTCCAATTGATTCCACAAATGGCACGTGCTGTCACTTCAGGAAAATCACAGGGAGCTTGGGAAGGACCCTGCCAGTGAAGGTGGAAGTGACACCTTTCCCTGGAAATGTTCTGCCTCTTTAATTTTCATGGTGAGATGTTCCCAGTCTCTGGGGAGAGCAGAGGGAGGTTAAAGGTGAGTTGGGTTTGTCTGGATGGAAATCCAGCACCTGACTAAGAGCATCTCACAAACTCAGTGTCCCTGCCCTCTGCTCCTCAGCCAGGACCTGCCTGGGTCCCCCAGCAGGGAAAACCAGAGCCTTGAGCTTCAGCAGGAGCTCCTGAGGAAGGAGATCCCTGGCAGGAGTGAATAGGAATTAACCCCATCCCTGTGGCTGAGCTCTCTGCTGAGGATCTCCAGCAGCACAAGCCCTCAGAGGGAGCTGCTGTTTGTTCTGGAGCTTTCCCTGTCCCCAAACCACCTCTGCTCCCACCCCCCGGAGCAGCAGCATCCCCCCAGCTCATTGCCATGGGAGGGGCTGGAGGTGACAGCCCCACCTGAGCCATCAGCAGGAAGAGGCTCCCGAGGGAAGGAGGCTGTGTCTGTGCTGATGGAAACTCCACAGGGGAGGAATTAAAGGCATCAGGAGCTGATGGGAGCAGGAGTGAGGCTCCACGTTTCTTTGGAAATAAGCTCCCTGTGGCTGAGGAGGAATGGTGAGAGCAGAGCCTGGGCTGGGCAGAGTCCAAACCTGGCTCGGGAGGTCCAGGGAGCAGAGGAGGAAAAGCTTTACTTTGCAAACCAAAGTGATGTCCAATTCTTGTCTAATGGATCCTGTGCTAAGCCAAGGAATCTCATTGCTCTCTGCAATGGGAATAGCTCCCCTATCTTTGGGATGGGAGGGAGTTCAGAACGGCAGGGAGCAAGGTTTTCATTAGGCATAAAAAATGTTATGTGTGATAGCCTGGAATATTCACCAGGAAAAGGGGAAATCAGTGATTCCATGGGCAGGCAGTTTCTGGAAGGCCTCAGTGTCTCTGCAGTGCCAGTGAACCCAGGGCTTGGTGTTTCTATTTCAAACTGTTTGAAAAGCCACTTCTCATTCTGAATTTTTTCCCTAAATGCTCCTGGGAAATGTGTTTGGAGGAGTGTAGGAAAAGCTCAGTGGGAGCCCAGCTCTACAGAAAGTGTGGGATACACTGCTTCAAAATTCAGTTTTTATTGCTGGTAAGGCAGGAAATCAAGGGGAAAGGGTGGGTTTACATTCTTAAAATTTTGGGGTTATTTTGGGACGATGGTCCTACCTTCTCCTAGAACATGACACTCAGACCAGAAAACATCCAGGGGAAACTTCAGTTCCAGTGACAGCTTCTGGGAACTTGTTGACTTCCATGGGAAAACAGGAGAGGCTGTGGAAGGAAATTCCTCAGAGAGAGGAAATAAAACCCAGAGCCTTTTTTTTTTTTGCCATTGAAAAGTTATTTTTCTTTTTTTTTTTTTTTTTAATAAATACCTTTAATTTTTTTTTTTTTTTTTTTTTAATAAATTCCTTATAAATATGTACAAAGAGTCTCAGCATATGAAATTCCTTTTACAAAAGAGAGAAGCCCCATCCAGCCAGGACCAGGAGCCTCCTGGAGCTCCAGGAACTCCGAGCACAGGCCCTGCCCTTGCTTTGGTGAGGGAGAAACCTGCACAGTGACTCTGCTGGAGTTTCATCCCAATGGTTCTGGAGCAGCAAAATGCCAGGAATTGGGCATTCCCTGCCTGGCATTCCCTTGGCAATGCCCCTGGGAGAGGCTGGGGAATTCCCAGTGGCCTCAGGACAAACGAGGATGGGAAGGTTTTGTGATAAACTCTGGTGAATAACTGGAAAAGGGATGCTGTAAAAACCCAGGGAATTAAATCCCACTGCAGCTGGGTTTGCTCTGCTTGCTGCCACCTGTAACTACTGATGGAGTAACTAATAAAGATGTAACTAAAAAAGGTGAAAGTAATAATGGTGTAACTAATAATGGCCATTTAATCCTCAGATTATCCTTTCAGTGAATATTTATCAAGCTCCAGAGTCTCTTCCTGTAAATATTAAAAACCTTGGGAAATTCAAGCACTTCAGTAACTCCCTCAGAGTGGACCCTGAAGTCACATCAAAATTCACTCCTGTACTCAAATAAATATTAAAAAAAAAAAAAAAAAAAAAGGTTTGTGTTTTTTGGTGTAAAAACCCAAGGCAGGAGCAGCAGGTGAGGATCCCTCCCCTCTTCTCAGACTGGCTGGTCCTAGGGAAGCCAAATTCCCATGGTATTCACAATTCCCCCAGCCCTTGGATCTGGAACTGGCATTGCTAGAGTCTCCTCACCTGCTATGATGAGATGGAAAGTTCAGCTCACACAGAGCAACGTTACACAAGAACAAGGCTGAGTTTGAAGCCTGGATTGAAAATCAAATTTGCTGGGAGCAAACTGGCTCCAAGGAAAGTTGTGCACCTGCTGGGGAGCTGAGGTACAGCCAGGAGGGCTGGACAGGGACCATGTGTGTCCAGGGTGCAGTGTGGAGCCTCAGATAGTCTGTTCTGTACATACTCCATGCAGGCTCCTGCCAAGAGCAGGGACAGATGTTATGTAGGAAAATTGAGTATTATGTGCTACTCTGTCCTCACTGGGGCCGTTTTTCACAGGGCAGTGCAGTTTTCCAGCTGGGAATGCCTCATTCCAGGCTGTCTGTGGACAGACACTGCACCAGTTTAACCAGTTCAGTTTGTCATGGATTTCAACAGCAGGAACTGCTTCTGCTCATGCTGAGGGTTTAAGAGACCTTTATAACTTTTCCTGTGATATAGAAACAAAACAAACTCACAAATCAGATGAAACTGGTTCAAGAAGTGTTTAAGGAGGATTTAAGGGAATTGCTTTAGCAATGGGCTTGGCTCACAGAGGAATTCCTGCCTGCCCGCTGTGAAGCAGGGGATGGGATTTCCCCTCTGCACTGACAGCCACCTGCTTTGGGGTGCTTTGCTGGAGTTTGCCTGGGTGCTGCCCCTCCTGGGCACAGCAGGCTGTGGGACAGCAGCCCTGGTCCCATCCCATGCTTTTTTGCCTGCTGAGAATTCTGCTGGAGGAGAGGAAGGAGCGTGGAACTCCTGGGCCAAGCCCTCCCTGGGGTAACCCAGCATTGCCGGTGCAGCCCGGAGTTCATGGCCAAAGGAGCAATCTGAGCAGGTGGCAGAGGAGCTGAGCAGCAGCCCACACCAGGCTGCTCTTTTACCTTGGAACATGGAATTCCAGGTTGTGCTGGGAGCTGTCTTGGCAGAGAACTGCTTTAAAAATTCATGAAGAGTTCCCTCCCAGCCTTGCTCCATGCAGACTATGAGCTCACAAAGCGAGCTCTGAAACCCGAGAGGGCTCTGTTTGTCCATCGGGAGAGCCCTCCCTGGCCCTCCCAGCTGACCCAACCCAGGGATTGCTGCTGCTGTGAGAAAACAAAAGGGCCAGAGGGGAACTGTGCTGGTTTCCTGCCCACAGGAGGGGACTGGGAATTGCCAGGGAGTTCACAGCACCCTTCCCTTTCCGTGCAAACACCAACCAGGGGAAAAGCAGATCTTGTAGAAAGGATAAAAACACTCCTTGTCAAAAAATGGAGGCGTTCAAGGATAGCAATTACACCACAAAATGTAAGGCTTTGACAAATCTGTACCCTCAATAAGGAACTCCAGTTCTGTACAGGGAATTCTGGCTACAAAACTCCAACGCTTCACCCTCGCTTCACGCGAAACATCCAGTTTGGAACTACAAAAGTGAAGCAAACCAGGAACAAGGCAGGATTTGGGGTACCACACCTGCTCTGGTTTCCACTTGGGAAGCACCATCGATGTGGCTGTTCCATGCTGGGCAGGACAAGTCTTTTAGCAATTTTTGCTGACTGTTTGGAGCTCCTGAGGAGAGCAATCCCCTGGAGCTCTGAGGTTTGGGAATTTTCACAGACAAGCCTGTCCACGGAGGGCTGGGACTGAGGGAGATCAGCCAATCCCTGCACTGGGGCTGATCACAGATTTGGGGGTTCTCCCGAGGTGGGGAGGACAGAACTTCCTTTCCTTTTCCTTGGCTGTGCTGTTCCAAGGGAATTGAAAGACTGGGAGCAGCCTGAAGGCTGCAGCCCCCAACAGCCAGGGCAGCAGGAGAGCCAAGGGCAGTGCCAGCTGTGTGCACAGGGAAAATGGAATAATGCCTATTCCAGGTGAGAAATGTATTACATTCAGAGCTGACAAAGGTGAGGAATCTGTGGGAGAGCCTCTGAGGGATGTGACCCAGCTCTGGGGCTGTCCCAGGGCTGGGGAGGATGTGCAGGGCAGAGCTGCAGGGGCTGTCCCCTACAGCCAAGTGTCACATCCATGGTTCCTGTTCAAGTGGGACTTGTGCAATTCCACAGGCACAACTTCACTCCCACATTCCAGGGGTTTCCAGAAATTGGTATTTTTAAGGCTCTCCCCAGCACTGGCAGCACTGCTGGAACGAGCTGAGGCTCCTCCTTTTGTTAGAAGAATTTGTCCTTGTTTCTGGAGGAGACTGAGCTGGGAAGGGGTTCAGGATGCTGAGGATTACTGAGCATCAGGCCAAAAATGGCAGGAAAATGTTTCACTGGCCCCTGTGGCTCTGAGACCACCCAAGGGACATGGACAGACAAACTACACAGAGCTACAGCACCCCTCCCAACACTGCACATCACCTAAGGCAGGGCAAGGTTCTTCACTAGGAACAATCTGCTCTTCCAGCAGAGCCCTTGCTGCTGTTTGGGAATGGACTTGGATCAATATCAGCCAGGAAAATGTGTGCAGGGGCTCAAAACACTGTGGTGAATATTTGATAAAGGGAGAATTTTGCTTTCAGATTGCTTAGAAACATTTCTCCTGCAGCAGTGGAAAATGCAGGGTCTGACTGGACACAGAGGCCACTCGGCTTCTTCCTAGGCTGGGGGAGGGGTGGGAAGTATTTTTAAAAGACAAGGAGCCGAATTTCCTTCAGAAATCGGGTTCTAACATTCCTTTATGCCTTTGAAAATGCCCTCCCTGCCATAGCAGGGTCAATTTTCTGGCGCAAATATCTAAAGGTAGGAAAAATGTTTCAAAAAAACTGTGCACAGGTTGCTGTATGTGGAAGGTACCCGAAATCTGACAGGTAGTTTTGGCTGCAAGGAAAAAAGTGCTCAGTACCAGACTGAAAAAAAGCCCTTTGACTTCTAAGGCCAAGTTCTCCTGTTATCCCCTGCTCTAGTGATCAGTCTGGATAAGAGTTCTCTTCCCTGGTTCATGGGATGTGGGACTGAATAAATCACCATGCAGGAGAATTCCCAGCTCTGGAGCTGCAGAAAGTGCTGCTCTAGCAGCCTCTGATGTGCACACTGCAGTGGAAAGGGCCCTGTGTCCTTTCCACCTCAGTGCCTGCTGCTTCCCAAGCTCCACACTGTCAAAAGAAAAAGAACTGCTCCAAAGAAAAGGAGTTTTATAAAGTTCTGGGGTAGATTATTTGTTTTGTCTTAGTTTCTGCAGAGATTGAAAGAAAGAAAAAAAAAATAGCACCTTCTCAACAAGTCTTATTTTTTGCTATCTTGTGTATAAATATCAATAACCAAAATAGATCTTTCCTTGTCCCACGTTTCAGAACATCCTCTTGGGGAAACCGTAGCACCACAGAGAGGCAGTTTAGCCCCGGACAAATATTAAATGTAGCACCAGAGAAACTAAAGTCATAGGAAAGCTGCTCTCCCCTGGTGCCAGAGCATGAATATTTACACACACAAACTGCTGTCCGAGCTGCTCCGCACCCGCTCCCCGCCACGCCTGGGCCGTGCCCGCGCTGCAGCACGTTTGGAATTCTCAGGATTACTAATCTGGGTGTAGAGATTCCTCCTCATCCTGCTGCACAAATGGGCCAGCAGGGCAGCGGGTGGTGTCCGGCAGGCCAGCAGCAGTGCCCAGGCTCGGCCTGCAGGAGCAGGGCTGCTCACAGCAGCGATCTACAGGGAATGTCGCTTACGCTCTCGACAAGGCATGCACGCGTCCACGTCTGCATACACAGGGGTTACATTCTTCTATATATAAGCAGGTTTTGTGTCTCTGGTTTGCTGCTGGGCCCTTGAACAGCTCCTTCCGGGCAAATCCTCCTTCTCACGTCGCCCAAAGCACTTCCAGCATCTCCCACTTCTTCCTTTCTCTCCACTCTTCACAGCTGCTGCTCAGGCTCTGGATTCCCTGGAGGAAAAGGGGAAACAATTTTCTCCAAGGGCACAGGGTTTGCTCCAGCCTAAGAAAGAAAAAAAATGGGGTTGGGTGTTAATTATGTTGATGCATTGGGTACAATAAAAGCTTCTTTTAAATTTATGCTTGAACCCTCCTACTAAATTTATGGACAAGAAGAGGAGTGGAGTTTATGGGGAAGAGAGTTTGTGGCTCAGAGAGGAAATGATGCCTTTGGCCCTGGGTACTGCAGATTTCTGGGAGCTCTCCCCCTTGCGAGGCTCCTTTTGGGTGCTCCATCTCCATTTACACCACATTAACAAAAATGTGAACTTTTAGGGAAAACATTAAATTTGTTCCAGGTAGGCAGTGGGGTGCACAGAGTATCACAGGAGACTGCAAGAACTCACTCATTCCTGCCTCTGCCACTGATTAGATTTGTGGCCTTGGGCAAACACTGCTTTCAGTTCTGCTGGAAAATGAGGGCACTAATAACTTCTTTGCCTCACAGGTGGGCTGCGAGCCTTAATTAATAAAGTGCTCAGTGAAAGGCACCCATCTAAGTGCAAATTAGCAGGAGAGGTGCCCGAGGGGCATCTGCGCTGAAATTCCCATTTCCCAGCGTTTGTCCCCCAGATTGGTGATGGCAGCCCCGGCTGGGGCAGATGCCGTGGATATCTCGTTGGCAGGCTGTGACAATGAGAGATCCCAGAAAAACCCGCACGGAGAAATCTCCGCCGGCCGCTGGGACGAGGTGATTTCACCGCTGGGAGAGGGGCAGTCGCTGACGGTGCAACTGCAGCAGCAATGAAGTCACAGCCTCATTAGGGCTGGCCAGCGGCTCCGGGGCAGATGCTGAGCTGCCTCACTCCGCATCCCTCCCCTTCCTCCATCCTGCCCTGCTCACGCCAGCGGGAAGGTAGCAGGAGGCAGCCTTGGGATGGGCTGAACCTCCAGGGAAGAGGGGAGCTGTGGTGCTGCCACGGACCCTGAGCAGAATCACAGAGTATCCCGAGTGGGAAGGGATCCACAGGGATCATCAGTCCAGCCCAGCAATCCCACCCTGTGCCTGAGAGCAAAGGCAGCCTTGGGGCTGTGACCTTTCCCTGTTCCAGCCACCTGGAATGTCTTTGGTTCCTCGTCAGGAGACTGAGCCACGTCTGCTTTATCCCAGTTCCTGCCAGCTGCCCACAGGATGTGGCAATTCCAGCCTCTGTCCTCATTCCCAGCCTTGCTTTCTCCTTTCAAGGAATCGGAAGCAACAGTGGGAATGGCTGGAAGGAGGAAGGCTGGGATGAAGCACATTTCCAGTCTGGCTTTGATCGAGGCTGTCAGCCAGCCCCATCCCAGGGCTGCTGCACCTCCATGCTCCGTCTCCCACATCCCACCTGCCCTCTGGAAGTGCTGGAGCATCCCAAAGTGCTTTAGCAGAGCTGCCTGGCTTTTCTGGCAGAAGGTAAATAGGAGAGGTGTTTGCTGTGTGGAGAGGGATAAACACAGCTACACAAAACCAGCAGCTGGGCAATGAAGAGCTGCCGGGGATAGCCCTGGGCTTGGAATGGGCCCCTGCTCAGTCTTGCTGCTTCCCTGTGCTCAGGGACAAGCACACAGCACCACGGGATTCTCCAGACCTGGGAAACATCACCAGCAGGGGATTTGGATACCTCACTCCCCACACAAATGGCAGAATTCCCCAGAGCAGGGCACAGCTGGGGCTGTGAGCGTGGTGCTGGATAAAGCAGGAGGATGTGGCTGCCTCCACTCCAAGAGGTGAGGTATTTACTCAAGTTACACTGGAATAAAGAATTCAGGAGTTGATTAAAGGATTTCCTCCACAGCAAAACCATTTAATCCTTATTTATTATTTCTCCTGTAGCAGCACTTCCAACTGCCAATCTCTGAACCTTTGTCCTGCTGTGCCACCATGGTTGGCAACAGATCATCCGTGGTGTCACTGTATTTTACAAACTGTCTCTCTGTGTCACTTAACGTATAGAAAATCGATAAAAACCTGTAAAAGTTGATAAATCCTTGAACATCTTGAACTCTAAGCGATAAATCTGCTCCAGGGCAGGCAAAGAGCTCAGCACAATGTTTATGCATCTCACAAGTCCCATTCTAAGGGCTTAAATGGCTCTTAAGTTTTGCATCAGCCTCGTGCTGGCCTTCTGCAGAAAGGTGAATTTCATGGAAAGAATAGAAGAGAACCCCAGAATTCTGGCCCTGAGCCCATCTCTCAATAAACCAATTTTGAGTATCCTAGGCTGTGTTAAAGCCATTTCTGGGTGCATATTGGCTGCATTGCCAGTATCTGACTCATTAATGGAATATACTTTGAGCCAATTCTGATCTCATTTACAGCACCGTAAATCCAGGGCAACCCAATTGACTCCAGTGGAGTTACTCCAAATTTCCCACAATAGGCACTCAGCAGACAGAGCAAAATTTGGTACTCTGGGTCTGAAAAAGGCTGAGCAAAGCCAAACTACATCCCATTTGTACTGGGGTGGATAGTAAGTTGGAAAGAGAACCAGCATATCCCTTCTGTAGAGCTGCTGAAAAATTGATTATTTTATGTGCCATTCTTAAAAGGCTGAAACTTTGGGGGAAACTGTCCACAACTATCAACATTTTCATTTCCTTATAAAATAAAAGGAATTATGGCTGAGTGCCTATATGAAAAGTGCAGTGTCTATTGGAAACACGGATGGGAACGATAAGAAAAAAATTCACTTCCTCTGAGATTGTTTCATGGGAACTGACATTCCCTTTGGTGATGTATCCCTCTGTGCCTGGGCATTTAGGGAGAGACAGATTTTGCTCAGAAAGTTGCTCTCAACCATTGCACAAATGAAGCTATAAGGTTATGAGACAACAAATGGCTTTGGTTACAAAACCACCTCAGCCAACCTCGCCACATCCCGGTACTTTAACACACACAGGCAGCTCCACTTCCCAATTATCTGGAATTCCCCAGCCTTATCCCACAGCTTTACAAAAAAAACCCCCCAAAAAAAAAACCAAGCTGCTTTTCTCCTGGATGCTGAGCGGGATGGGCATGAAACGACTCAGGTAGGGGGTCCTGTGTCTCTTAGCACTGCTCTGATTTTTATTTAGGGAGGGGAGGAGAAGCCCCCTTTAGGCAGCACCTGCACGAAGCCAGAGCAGAGTTTGAGCTGCCGGCTCTGGCAGCAGCTGGAAAAAGGAGTTCTGCTCACGGCTACTGTGTCAGCATGGAACTGCTCCGTTTGAATGGATTACAGGGGCCACTCGCTTGGCACGCGTCCCACTGCTAATAAACAAAATAACAGTTATTGATATATTGAAAGGGAAAAATATATCCCAGGGCTTGGATCGCTGAGGGCACGCTGGAGGCAGGGACTAAACGAGGCACAATCGCTTCCTGCTCGCACAGCAGCAGCTTAATGAGCGAACAAGGGCTGGGCAAAAGCCCTGTCAAATTCCCAAGCAGCCCCATGCGTGTACGCTCACACTTCATTAGCATCTCCGCGGGAGATGGAAGGGCAACTTGGAAGACCAAAAAACAATTAGGAGGGGGTTCAAGAGTGCTAGGGACGAACCGCGAAGAATGGTGTGTCCGGGAGATCTTTGCACAAGAAGATCAAGGAAGCCAGAGAGTAAAAAAGCACATTTGGGCTCCAATCCTCCCACAAAGACTGTCCTGCCTGGCCCCAGTCCACCCCTGGAATGAGCCATTCCTGGGCTGCTGTTTGTTTGTGCAAACTCTGATGTTTGTTTATCGGTAGAATTCATGTTGGAGGTTTTCTTTCTTCCATTTAACTGTGAGGCTGAGGTGAGGGTGGCAGGGGACCTTTGGCTTTTTTGAGCAGGATGCTTGCCATTGGGAAGGGCTGGCTTCTTCCTGATCCAGGAGGATAAACAACAGCCTGCCTCTTTGTGTGAGGGACACGCACGGGGTGCACGAGGCTGGATGTTTGTCCTGGTGCAGAACCAGCTCTCTGCATCTCCACTGCCTCTGGTCCTTCGTTTGCTCTGCTCTCCTGCACAGCTCAGTGGGACACCTCCAGAAATCTTATCAACCCGGTTTTAATACAGATAATTAACTGCACTGAGACTTTGGACAGAGTGGCTCTGCATGAACCTCGCAGCAAACAGTGGGGGGAATTCCTGGCAACACAGTGGGCAAGGAACCAGGCTGGTGGAGCTGGCAGGGACAAGTAGGGTTTGATTTTAATACACTGCCACTCCTGAACCAACAGAGCGAAATACAAGTGACATTGTACGCCAAACTGGCACCTGACAACTATACTTCATGCCCTGGTTGGATGTTTCAAGGTGATGTCAGATTACATATTACTAAACTACCAGTTGCAAAGCATCCCTCCCCAGATGGGTCTGCAGATGCAAGTTGGTCACACGCAGTGGCCCTAATCCTGCTCTCACTGCTGTCACCCAGGGCTGTGAGAGCAGGAGGGGTTCCCTGGAGCACGGGATTATTCCCTGAGCTGCGCTGCTGTGTGAAGCCCCATGGAGCTGAGGGAACAAGCACCAACCTCAGAAGCCGTGCGTACGCACACAGCAGCCAATGCTGCTGCCTCTTGAAAAAGCAGGAGGGGAACTCGAGGAATAACCCAAACTGAAACTGGCCTTTTCCTCTTTTCTCCATTCCTTCTGCAACCACCAGATCACGAGACAAAGGCTGACTCTGCAGGGCACTCATTAACTGTTCAAGTTGCTCTCCTCTTACCAGCCTTTCCATGAAATCCCAAGATCACAAGTGGTTAGAGGCTGGACTTCCCAGCTTGTTGTAGGACAATGTTATTGTCACTGCAGAGTTCTCTGAGGATGGCAGAAAGATGCCTGTTTTGTTTAGAATTGCTCTGCTGAGGTAATCAAACACTGTCTTACCTCATCTCCAAGGCTAACCGAGCTCACTGCACTGTCACTGGGGCTCTGAGACACTGCAGACTGTCAGAAACCTCCACTGGTGGAAGCAAATTACTGCTCAGGATGAAAAGATTATTAATGGCCAGAATAACTGAGGAACTGAGGTGCAGATGACACAGTTAATTATTCTGGGCTTGCATTGTATTTTCATCTGCAGCTTGGTCACTTGTGCCTTAGCAGCCTGGCAGGAGTGGGACAGGTTGCACACAGGGACAGCCAGGAGTGTCACCAGCCTGTTCATCTCAGCCTTTATCCCTGAAACTGCTTCCCATCACACACCAGGAGCTCCTTTTCAGCCTTACATGTGTATTTGTGTCCAGGAGCATTTGGAGGCGGCTCAACACTGTCTGTGGCAGCCTTTGAAGCCAGGGGCAGGACGGTGCTGCCCATGGAATTCGCCTCGGAGGCACCCGGGATAAGCTTGGCTTTTCCACAGCCTCTCATGAAAGCCATTTATAAGCAACTGGTGGGCAGAAATGGAAGTGAGGACTCCAGGACCAACAGCAGAAGAGATTGGGGGGAAAAGAATAGTGTCTGCCCGATAAACCTTCACAAAAATTACTACTCCAAACAGCTTTGGCCTCGTGGGATTGCCAGCAAGTCTGGACTGTGTGTGTGCACGGATCACCAGGGCCAGCTGACAGGCTCCCTCTGCCAGCCCTGTTCACCTGCCACCTTCTCTGCTTGGGACAGAGTCCCAGACTGGGCAGGGAGGAATTTCCCTGGCTTGTCAGAAAGAAAAGGACATTTGAGACATTAGATAAGGGAGATCACTGCCGTTCCCCCTTGGATTTCAGCTCTGTTTATGCTCAGAGAGGCCAGCAAGGCAGACGGATGGGTTTGCTTCCAAACACAGGAACCAAACTTGCCACAAACTGATGGGGAGGGAGAGATGTGTTTGCTCTGCTCCTGACCGCAGTCCCACAGCACTGACACCACCTCTGAGGCACCATCCAGTGCTTGCTTTTATAGAAATTGAGGCTTCAATTCATCAAAACCCCACAGTTCTCCTCTGTTTTTGTTTCAAAGAAAGCTTTCCAAAGGTAACCAGCAGAGCCTCCCGCCAGACGCAGCAGTTGTGGCTCAGATGGATGACAACAATGCCCCCCCACAGTGTGCACACACGCAGTGCAAACAACCAGACCTGCTGGAAAACCTCATTTTTAAACTCTCTGATAACCTGACTTCCCCTCCACACTACCCCATCCAAGCTGGTGGGATACCAGTGCACGCTGAAAGTTAGACATGCATTGAAATTGTTTCCTGAACACAGACGGACACTGGGGGGTGTTTATGATGCAATTCACAGCACCCAAAAGAGGAGTCTGTGCTCCTTAGGTCTGTGGTGACAAATCGACGACCCAAAGAACACTACAGAGCATCCAAAATCCCTGAGGTGACCCCACATATGCTTCGTATCCCTGAGTGCTCCCAGGACTGAGGGTGCAGAGCTGTCCCCACAAGCCCCGGAGCTGTCACCACGACGACAACAACGAAGATTACAGGACCAGGCATGTCCTGGCTCCCTGCTGCTCGTTTGCTCAGTGGCTCTGGAACACAGAACCAGCAGTAACTGGGCTTGGGTGCTTTTCTGGGCCAGTGGCTTGGGACCCCCCCCCCGGGGAGAACCCCCAACACTGGGGGGGCATTGTCCAAAATACAGAGCCGATGTCCCAGCTGCCCCACTGGAAAGTCCAGCGGGGACATTCCACCACCCAGTGACCTCAGCGATGGGTGCCCACAGCACCCGCGTGTCTAAAGCCCACCAGGGAATGACAGGACACAGGGAAAGTTCTTCCACGCAAAAAAGGGCTGGAGGTTTGGCAGGCACGGGTGTGCGGGGCATCCTGCAGCTCTCGGGACCGGCAGCCGGGGCAACACGGGACCTGCTCGGCTCCCCCTGAGCTGCCCCGCGCTGCTGCCGTGCATGGAGCTCAAACTGCCCCACGAGAGCACGGGTGGGGCGGGCGGAGGGGAGCCACGGCGGTGGAAGCCGTGAAAAGTTCGGGGAAGGGGAAACGGGGCGTTTGAGGGAGTCCTGGGAAAGGGGGAGAGAACAGAGGGAAAGTGGGGACGGAGAGGACAGTGGGGAGAGGTGAGAGCGACAGGTCGGTGCGACCTGGCACCGGCAGTCCAAGGAGAGGAAGAGAGAGGGGAGAGGAAGAGGGATAGGAAAAGGAGAGCGATCGGTGCGAGCCGGCAGCACGAGCAGCCCGTGGCTCGGCGCGCTGCCGCGCTCAGCCCCGCGGCCCGGCGAGGCGCGGGTACCGCGGACAGCGCGCTCCGCCGGGCCGGACCGAGCCGAGCCCCGCGCCCGCTGCCGTCCCGACCCCGCGCCCGGCCCGGCCCCGCCGGCCGCCCCGTCCCGCGCCCACCTGTTGCGCGTCCCGCCTGCTCCCCGCTCCGTCCAGCGCCCCTCTCCCTAGAGGCTCCTCCTGCGGATCAGCCAGGCCAGCGCGGCCGCGGGCGTGAGCGCGCAGAGCAGCCCCGCCACGGCGGCCAGGCGGCGGGCGGCCGAGGGGCCGCGGCCCCGCGCCTTGCGCCGCTGCTCCAGCTCATCGCCCAGGCGGCGCAGGCGGGCGGCGACCCGGCGGGCGGCGGCCTCGGGCCGGGCGGCGCGGCCGGGGCCGCAGGGGCTGCAGGGCGCGGGGGGGCCGCGCAGCGCGCACGGGCACATGGCTGCGTCCGCTCGCCGCCGAGCCCGCCGAGTGTGCGGCGGGCGGGACGCGGGCGGGACACGGGGGGGACGGGGGGTTACATCATCCCCCGCGGGGCGGTGCTCGGCCGCGGGCGGAGAGGGGGGAGCGAGGAGACGGCGCGGGGGTGGGCGGCAGGGGGACAGCGGTGGGGCGGTGGGACGGTCTGGGGTCCGGCGGAGGGATGGGAGGGAGAGTGGGGATGGAGGGACAGCAACAGGGATGCAGGTGATGGTGTGGGGATAGAAGGACATGGGGGGGACTGGGGGGAACAGTGCTGGTGTGGTGGGACATTCTGGTATCCAGGGATGGGTGGGAGTTCGGTGGGACAATATGGGAATGGATGGGTGGATGGATGGATGGATGGATGGATGGATGGATGGATGGATGGACGGACGGACAGTGTTGGGACGGAGGGTACAGCACGGGGATGCAGGGACACGGGATGGAATGACAGTGTGGGACTGGGAGTGGAGAGAACAGTGCTTGTGTGGTGGAAGAGTCTGGTATGCAGGGTGGGAGTTCGATGGGACAGCATAGGAATGCGAGGATAGCATGAGGATGGAGGAACAGTGTGGGACAGAGAGGACAGTGGGGAAGGTGGGACAGAGTGGGTCATTGTGGGGATGGAGGGACAATTTGGGGATAGAGAGGACAGTGTGGAATAGAGGGGACAGCGTGGGGACAGAGGGACAGTTTGGGGATAGAGGGGAAGTGTGAGGAAGGTGGGACAGTGTGGGATAGAGGACGGAGGACAGTGTGGAGGGACAGTGTGGGAACTGTGGGGATAGAGGAGACGCTGGGGATAGAGAGGACAGGATGGGGACAATGTGGGGATAGAGGGGACAGAGGGGATGGCGTGGGGATAGAGGGACAGTGCGAGGCTGCAGATGACTGTGTGCTGGAGGAGGGGACAGCGAGGAGATGCAGGGGGGCAGTGAGGGGATTACACAGAGCTGGAGCCGATTTCATCACCCACAGCATTACGGATTCGGATCACATTTCGGGTGGCCGAGGCAGGAGCGCGCAGCCCCCGGCACTGACCCGCGGGGCCTCCCCGGCTGCCGGGGCATGGGAGCAGGGCTGGCACCCCCGGGCAGGGCTCCCTGCACCCACCAGCCCTGGGATGGACACGGGGGGCTCCCCGTGGGTCAGGAATCACCCCAAACTGGCCCTGTTTCCCCCCGGCTTTGCAGAGAAGCTGCTGCGAACCTCCTGGCAGATCATCCCAGCCCATCCACCCTCCCTGGAGCAGCCCCACACCCTGCTGCAGGGGCAGCTCCTGGTCTGCAATCCCAGCACTGGCGGGGCTCACCAGCACGTGCACCCCAGGGAGACACCTCCTCTAGGTCCCTGCAAGTGATTGTTTTGTAGGGAAAACACGTCACAGAATCACAGACTGGTTTGGGCTGGACAGGATATTGAACTTCATGCCATCCCACCCCTGCCATGGCAGGAACACCTTTCACTGTCCCAGGCTGCTCCCAGCCCCATCCAGCCTGGCCCTGGGCACTGCCAGGGATCCAGGGGCAGCCACAGCTGCTCTGGGCACTCTGTGCCAGGGCCTGCCCACCCTCAGAGGGAACAATTCCCAATTCCCAATATCCCATCCAGCCCTGCCTCTGGCACTGGGAAGCCATTCCCTGTGTCCTGTCCCTCCATCCCTTGTCCCCAGTCCCTCTCCAGCTCTCCTGGAGCCCCTTTAGGCCCTGGAAGGGCTCTGAGCTCTCCCTGGAGCCTTCTCCTCTCCAGGTGAGCACCCCCAGCTCTCCCAGCCTGGCTCCAGAGCAGAGGGGCTCCAGCCCTTGCAGCATCTCCTCCTCTGGTCTCACTCCAGCAGCTCCAGGTTCTGCTGATGTTGGGGACCCCCCAGCCAGGGGCAGCTCTGCAGGTGGGGTCTCACCTGAGCAGGGCAGAGGGGCAGAATCTCCCCCTCCTTTCCTGCTGCCCACACTGGGGGCTCAGCCCAGGGCAGGAGGGGTTTGGGGTCCAGCACAGAGGCCAAGGCAAGGCCAGCCTTCACCCACCTGTCTTTTTTGCAGGATTTATACGTACAGGAGCTCCTCCCCTAAATGAGGTAGTTTGGGTTCTTCTTGGACCACTGTTCATGTTCATTAAGTTGGGTTTTATAAACAGCAACCAGCTGTAGAGAAGAGGAAGCATCAAGTGGCCAGTGAGGAAGGCAGAGGTGGACACCAGGGTGGGGGTAATTGCACAAGCTGCTGCTGACAGCATGGGCTGTGTTTTACGGTCAGTTCTAGAAGGATCAGCTGTTTGACTTACACCAACACATCACTTAGCTGCTCTACTTCATTGCGGGCTCCTCAGGAATCATTCTGGTGACTTGAGTACTCATGGCCTCTTTGCTTCCTGAGCAGCTGGACTGGCTGAAGTGGCAGAAGTTTGCAGCTGCGGTTTAGCATCATTTGAACACAGCCTTAGAGCACCAAGGTGCATTGATTGTGGAGAGGAGCTGAGCCAACTTCGTGTCCTCCCCAAAACGCCATCAAAGTGGCAGCTCTCGGGCTGTGGTGGCTGCAGGAGGTGGGTGTGATTCAAGCAGCAGAACACCATCCCAGCAGGTGTGGTGGGCACAGCAGCGGTGGGGGAAACCTGCCCGGGGGTGCCAGCCCTGCCCACCTGCTCAGCTTCAGACATGCCCAAGAGAAAGGGGAAAATGGCCTCTGAGAGGTACATTGATCACTCAGAGCAGCCACTTCCACGGGCAACAACCCTCCCGTGGGACCGGCCATGGCTGTGAGAGGGATGAGGGCTCCCAGTGGGGCCGGCCATGGCTGAGGGTTCCCAGTGGGGCTCTGGGTGCCCAGTGGAACCCAGCCCTGTCCTGGCCATGG